CATGTGAGACCAAGTGACGAGGGTGCAATGCCGAGTCGGAAGTCTGACTATTTCAATAGTGAGCGAGCCCATTGAACCCCCACTTGTCGATTAGACCATGCCTTGAGGCTCAGAGGCGAAGGCAAGAATTTACCCGATGGCTGGGTAGGAGCCTTGAATCAAGATATCATGGATTCTGATAACTCGATGGTTTGACTTGACACTTGAACGTCGATGGTGCAAGGTGACGGGGCCTCGAATGATGTATCAACCCTTTCTAAACGCCCTTGTGAGTTTCATGGATAAGCTGATATGATGGTCGCTGCGTTCTCAACGCGTATCTCTAGCTTGGGGGGAAGTCGTGATATCTACAAAAAGTACCTCACGCACCCACGCATAGGCATCCTAGGGTTAGGTTTTGTACATCTCGATCGCCTGCATATCGGACTGCTAGCAGCAGTGCTCCGAGTCGGAAGCAATTTGTGGAACTTGCGCCAACGTCTTTGGATACTCAAACGCTGTCCGAGTCACAGATACGGAATAGCTTCTGATCATCTGTTTGACCGAATCAATGGAGGAAAGAGGCGGGATGACGTCTGCGGGATACGCGGGGGTTCGACTCGGGGCGAGAAAAGGCTCCTTTCGAAGCGGTCCAGACCGTGACGGGAGCAGTGGGTTTCTCCACCCACCGCGTCACCCCGAAAGTCAAGGGTTTGTCGATCGATTCGTTGTCGACTTACGTGGGTGCGGGTTTAGGGGGGCGTGGCAGAGGAGAAGCTGCAAGCACACGCGATGTGTCTTTTCTCTCTTTTTTTTTTTTTTTTTTTTTTTTTTTGTCTGTTGCCCTCTGGCTTGGGTCACCTTCTGTCCGCGTACTTTCAGCCCTTTCGAGGGTTCACATCACTCAGGAACAGGCTGTGCCGGAATGAAGGATGTTTAAGAAGCTTCGGGAGATGGGGAATGGGAACTGGGCGTACTTGGCGTGTCTCTCTTACAAGCCGAGGATGGAGGGACGCGTGTGTGCGGTTATGTGTGACGACAAACGTCTTTCTTACGCAGTCTGAAGAAAGAGACAAGTAGGAGAAACATCACGTCAATCTGGGTACAACAAAACAGGGGACCAACACCGTGAGGAATGTGCGCCTTCAGCCTCAGACCCAGGCGTGCGTGCGAGTGTGTGTGTGCGAATGTTTACTTGCGGTAATCCAAATTGGGAAAACGAGTAAACAATGAGGGAGCATGGACACGGACGCTAAGCGGTTTCGAGGAAAACGCAGAGATGGCGGTGGCGTTGTGCTGTGTTTTGGTACCTGACTCTGCGCCTTTGTCGTGTGTACCTTGGGTATGGAAAGTGTGAGGCGGACGGTAAGGTCTCTCAACATGTTTTACAGTTCAAACGGTACGGCGTCGTGGCGGCGGTGGGAAAGCGCACGGAAAAGGTTGCAAATGGTATAGGTAGAGGCCGCCGTCGCTTTGGGGGGGCGATGAAGCTCTGTGACGTAGGGGATCGATCTGGGTCTTACGGAGTACTGCGTAGGTAGGTAGGGTCTTGTGCAACAACAAAAAAAAAAAACGGGCCGGTTGGGAACGACGTAGATGGGATCTGGGCTTCTTCCGTTTTCGTGAACGGGCAGAGGGACGGTGGCTTAAGGTAGCTTAGCTTCCTTTTGAATTTGTTCTGGAAAAGGCGGCGGGAGTCGCGGGAGGGGAACATCGGTGGTCTTGGCGATGGAGGGGGATTGGGATGGACGGCTTACCTCATTTCAGCTTGACTGTCACGCCTCGACGGAGTTTGGTTTGTCTGTGAGGTTGAGAGTCTTCAGTTACAGACTCGCGATGGTACGAGATAAGGTGTCATCATGTTCAGGAACAGAAGACCCAGATGTTGTGAAAGGTGTGTGTGGATTAGACTGATAGGACGGGAGGGTTGGAGCAGAAAGAATAAGGAATGCTTATTTCTCATGTCATGCATCATCCCCCGAGGAGCAGGGTGGCTGAGCACCCTGTAAAGAAATGCTCCGATTGAGGGAGTTCCTCTCGCTATTCTAGAGTCTATCCATCTATGATAGCGATCCCTCCGTGGTGGTGCATGGTGTATCCTCCTCGCTTACCTTACTCACCGGTCGATTCCTTGACGCTTAATCACCGCGCCTATTGAAGTAGTACTGTGACAGCGAATTCAATCTTCTTGATCAGAAGTTCAGAACCCCCATCCTCTGTCCCGTCTCTCCACAAATGACCAAACCTCCCCAACTTCCCAGAGCCCCCCAAAAGGACCTCCCCTCAATGCACAGCCCTGTCGGCGAGTCGCTGCCGGGGTCTTGCCTGTCATGTGAACCCTCTTTACTGCGTAGTCTACTCCGTAAGGACCACTATAAACTTGTACGCAGCAAAAGGTTGGAAACGACTTCCCTTTCGGCATTGGGTCCTGCGGGGACACTTTGTTCCCCCTTTTTCACTTAACCTGACACGGGGGGCGCAAGGTGTATCCGTACGCTTGAGCACGGGATACTAATCCGTGCCGTTGTCTGTAAAGATGAGGGTTATTGTGAGAAGAAGAAAAAAAATTCATCAAGAGGAATCATGATGCTGGAAACGGAGGAAGAAACGGAACGAATTTGGCGCGGTGCAGTAAACGTCTAGAACTCTTTCGGGATAAACTGCGGCATCAAACTTTTCTCCCATGTGGAATGATGGCATTTCTCGCCTCTAGCGCGGGACCAGAGGAGGCTTGCTGCACATCTCGGATGCCACACGCGAGCAAAGACCCTTTTCCTCGATGTGTATTTGCATTCTTCCAGGTACAGATCTTCCGGTCCTCCGTACTGCTTGAGCATTTCGGCCGTGTAGAGGACGCCGATGGGAACAGGAGCCCTCAATCGGCCGGATACGTGATATCCCGACCTGCATAAGATGAAGAATGGTATCCGTATGAAAGGTATGAAAGGACTTTGTTGAATGGGCCTCGTATTCATCGACCACCAATCCATCCCCTTCTTGCCGCGAAGAGCCTAGCATTCCTTGGGGATCGTCTGCCACTACACAAAAAGGGTGCAGGGCCACAGGGCGTGTGATGTGGGTGAGTGGGACACACATTCGAGGTGTCAAAAATAGCCACAGCCACAGCGAGCGGCGGCCCTGCCGATGCGCTACAGCGCTACTACGCGGTATGCAAAGCGTTCCCGTGCTTCTGGGGGGGGGGGGGGGGGGGGCTTCCGGCGGTCGGGGCCTTTCTTATAGCAGAAGGGGCGGGCCGCGACTCCCGTTGGTTGGTGGGGGGGGGTTTTTTTGCAGTGAGTGGGGGTGCGGCCGGCCGTGTGGGGGGGGGGGGGTGGGGGGGGGGGTGGGGGGGGGGGGGGGGGGGGGGGGGGGGTCCATGCTGCTCTGGGCTCTTCCATTGAAGCCAAGCGGCGGCACGGCATCTCGTTGGTGCTGTGGACGGAGTATTTTGTACAGTAGTGGTGGGTGTCCCGAGCTCTGACAGAGGGAGAGAATTTTGGATGGCAGTTTTAGGGTATTCTGCCCAATGAGGTCGTCCGATGCTCCGTCTTCTTTGCGATTCCGTCCACGAGACTGAGGAACAACACCTGGCTGGAGGTGCTGGTTTGTGTACGTACCGAGGCTGGATACCTACCTTACTACGTACCTCATGTTCTTCCAACTGGGCGTTGCATGTTCCTGCAGATGCTGACATGTAAAGACATGCATTGTACACGGAAAACTGCCATCGTGAGATGTATTCTAGAATACGAAAATCTAACATTCAATGGTAGACTTACTTAACAACCCCAGAATCCCATTCAACGTGAGGTGAGCAGACAGGAAGCAAACAGCCACAATGTCAAGTGGAAGAGTGAATGACTTGAGCAGCAGGTACACAAAAGGATACGTACCGCATCCCTCAACCTGGTAGTGATGGGTCGGATCAAGTGGATCGCAAGCCTCGAGACCCTATTAGCGCAAGAATTGCAAGGACCTGAGGCGAACCAATCCCCTTGGCCGTGTTTTTTTACGTATGCATTTTTTATGATATTTTTTAATGCTGTGTTTTTTTTTTTTCTCTTTCCAAGGTACGGAGTACGGTGCCGCAGCTACCTATCCGTACCTAGTAACACTGCGCAGTATGTATGTATGTGAATGAGTTTTTCCTGGGCTGCCAACCCCACTCCTCCAGCGATGGACCCGGATATCGGCGCACCCACCGACTGGGATGTTCCAGGAGTGACATACGCAATCCTCCAGGCTCAACAAGCTTCCTCTCCAATGGTCTTTCCTTCTCACTGTTCTCCTCCACGCCTCTCCACCTTTCCCATCCCTCCTTCATCCCATCAGTCCCCTACTCCTACCGTAAGGTCCATAGCAGTCCTTCACTGTCTCTTCACCATCCCTCCGTGTCGTGCCGTAACCTAAACTTCGTCCTACATACGCTCGCTTCAAGGCCGACTTCCCCTCGCTTTTCCCAACTCTTCCCTCCTCCTCCTCCTCCCCCCAATCCCGCGATCCCGCCGACCCTCCGCCAGTCGTTCCAATCTCCCCATCGTCTCCCTCTCTTCGCGCCGCTTCGACGACATCTGTGGCTCCACTAATTGTCCCAATCGAAGCCTCCCGTTGCTCGCGTGCCTGGGAACCAGCTGCTCCTTTCCAAGGGCCCTTTTGACGATCTCTTCTCTCCCCGACTCTCGCTGCAGCAAACCACGTCATCCATCTGATTTCAGGCCTCTTTGCTCACTTCCCAGCGGTCTTTGTGCGCCCGGTAACATTACACGGCGACCCAACCCGAAAACAATTCTTTGCGACGAACAACCAGTAGAAGCCCCCGTTGAACAAGCTCCTGTGCCATCGTCCTGAATCCCAATCACCCACCCGACTAGCCGACCGAGATTCTCCCTCAACCACCATTTTTTCGAAGATTTGGTGCAAAGATAACATCAACAACCAGATCTCTCGCTGCCCTCTTCCTCGCCGAGGCCAACTAGAGACGCGACTCGCCCCCCTCGCCCCAAGGGGCCTCAACTTTCAAGATGAGCACCGACGCCGGAAAAGAGCTGCTGGACTTGCTGAAGAACCCCTTCAGTTCTCAGGTCTGTAAAACCCCCATCACTACCGAGCTTTTGATAATTCACGCTGGATGCTGACTGCCATATAGCTCGCCAAGAACTCAGTCTGGGCTGCTCTGGGCACCTCACTCGGTGTCACTGTCGGTATCGCCGTCACCTTCTCCTTTCTTCGACCGTACAATCAGTCCGTTTATGCGCCCAAGTTGAAGCATGCCGACGAGAAACATGCTCCGCCGCCCATCGGCAAGAAGATCTGGTCCTGGATCCCGCCGCTATGGAATACGACCGAGGATGAGCTGGTGCACCACGTCGGCATGGACGCCACCGTCTTCCTCCGCTTCGTTCGCATGTGCTTATACATCTTCGCGACCATCTCTGTGTTTGGCCTCGGAATTCTGATTCCCACCTACCTCAGCACTGCAGAGAGCAGTTCGACCAAGGATAGATCCTGGATCGACTTGATTACTCCCATTGCAGTATGGGGCAATGCGTACTGGGCACAAGTCGCAGTTGCGTATATCATCACCTTTGTTGTTATGGGCTTCTTGTGGTGGAACTACCGCAAGGTCTTGCGCCTCCGACGCAAGTATTTCGAGAGCGAGGAGTACCAAAACAGTTTGCACGCCCGGACCCTCATGGTAAGATTGATTTTCGGATGACGTACCACTGGGAGCTTCAAACTGACCCCAGCAGATGTACGATATTCCCAAAGCCAAATGCTCCGACGAAGGCATCGCGACCATCATCGACGAAGTTGTGCCGGCCTCATCCTTCTCTCGCACCGCCATCGCCCGTAACGTCAGGGAACTCCCCAAGCTGATCGAGCAACATGACCATACCGTTCGCAAGTTGGAGGTGGTACTGGCAAAGTATATGAAGAAACCCGACCAACTCCCGGCTGCCAGACCGATGTGCAAGCCCTCCAAGAAGGACCCGTCTTTCGCGACGTATCCCAAGGGACAGAAGGTCGACGCTATCGAATACCTGACACAGCGCATCAAGGAGCTCGAACTGTTGATCAAGGAGGTTCGACAAAGTGTCGACAAGCGAAGCACCATGCCCTATGGCTTTGCCAGTTACGCAGATATTGCAGAGGCGCACAACATTGCCTACGCCAGCCGCAAGAAGCACCCGCACGGCGCAACAATCACCATGGCCCCGCGCCCGAACGATATTCTGTGGGATAACCTGGTCCTGACGCCCTCGATTCGTCGCACAAAGCGTATTGTGAACAACCTCTGGATCGCGTTGCTTACCATTGTCTGGATCGCTCCCAACGCCATGATCGCCATCTTCCTCATCGACCTCAACAACCTCGGTAAGGTCTGGCCCGCTTTCCAGACGGAACTTCAAACCAATCCCGAATGGTGGTCCATTGTCCAAGGTATCGCATCTCCTGGTTTGATGTCGCTGGTCTACCTCGTTCTGCCCATGATCTTCCGTCGACTCTCGATGAAAGCTGGAGATCAGACCAAGACGGGTCGTGAGAGGCACGTTTTGGCCAAGTTGTACGCTTTCTTCGTGTTCAACAACTTGATCGTGTTCTCGCTCTTCAGCACCGTTTGGTCGCTTGTGTCGGCTATTGTGAGCGAGACCAGCGAAAAGAGCGTCGACGCCTGGCAGGCCATTATCGATCAAAACTTGGCAACCACCATCTTCACGGCGCTTTGCTCAGTCAGTCCCTTCTGGGTCACTTGGCTCCTCCAGCGCAACCTTGGTGCTGCCATCGATCTCGCCCAGCTATGGAAACTCATATACAGCTTCTTCGTGCGCAAATTCTCGAGCCCGACGCCCAGAGAGCTCATTGAGCTAACGGCACCTCCCACCTTTGAGTACGCCTCTTACTACAACTACTTCCTCTACTACGCCACAGTTGCACTGGGTTTCTCTGGCATCCAGCCCTTGGTTCTTCCTGCCGCCGCGTTGTACTACGGAATCGACTACTGGCTCAAGAAGTACCTCTTGCTCTACATCTTCGTCACCAAGACTGAGTCCGGAGGCATGTTCTGGCGCGTGCTCTTCAATCGCATGCTCTTTGCCGTCTTCCTATCCAACTGCGTCTTCTTCCTCAGCTCGTGGGCGCGAGCCGACTGGGCCTACCACAGCCAGGCCTTTGCCATTATCCCTCTGCCCATTTGCTTGATCATATTCAAGGTCGTCTGCTCCCGATTGTACGACGACAAGATCCATTACCTCTCGACCACCAACGTTGCCAAGCACCCGGAGGCTGGCGTTATGAAGGAAACTCGCCTTCGCAGTGAGCGCCTGGCTTCGCGTTTCGGCCACCCGGCCTTGTACAAGCCTCTCATCACTCCGATGGTGCATCAGAAGGCCCAGCCTTACTTGCATGTCGTGTACAAGGGTCGCCTTTCGGACGGAAGAGATGTCAACACTGGCGACATGATGAGTGTTTCTGGATACTCGGACGTGTACGCGTTGGATCCCATGAAGTCTGGCAAGCCTGGCAAGTCGGCCGGTATTCCCGGTTTCGAGTTCGTTTCCGAGTCCAACCTGGATTTCGAATTCTACAAGAACAGAGCGGAATTCGCAGAGGAGCATGGCCAAGGCGACATCTTTGGAAGGGATCCTGACATCATGCGCCCCGGCACCCCTGGATCAATGTCCGATTTCGGCTCTCGCCCCGGAACGCCCACGAATGCTGCTTTGCAGGGCGGCATGACAGGTCAGCGCCGCGACATGTCCGGTTCTAGGCCTACTCCGCCTGCCGGGTACATGTCGCCAACTGGAAGCGGCCGTCAGTCCCCTACCATGGGACCGCCCCAAGCTGGCTTCGCTCAGCAAGCGACCATGGGCGAGCGGTCCCGTAGCCCCCTGTACACCATCAACAGCAACGGCAGCGACACGGCGCTCGTGAGAAATGCCGCAGGTATGCCGATGAGCGCACCCACGGGTGGACCGAGTGTTGGCGCCCTGGGCGGCGGACCGAGGGGGTATAGTGGACTTCCTCAGGCTGACGCCGAGACGCCCGACCCAGACCCGACCCAATACGACTACTTCCGTGGGTCAGCAAGGCGGCGCCAAAACGACCAATGGTAGTTGACTGAGAAGGTGTCATGATTGGTTTTCAATTTTCTTTTTGTGTTGTGAGCGATGGTAGAGCGAAGGGTTGCCTCGCGGTCCGGGATCTGGTCTCCATGTGATGGCATTGCATTCTCGGCGTTGATTTGAGAGAGGGGGGAGCCCGAAGAGAGGTTCTATCATGGGTGGACTGCGGGCTGTGAGCAACAGGATCCCCCGTCATCTCGACCGGGCCCTGTTTGTACTTTTTTCCTTATTCATCAAAATGGTAATGATCAAAGAGACGAGACATAGACTGAAGATTTGCGTGGGACGATGGTACATAACGGTGCTCTCCCTCGAGCAATTGTTTCCCCTGGCGCGAAGCTGGTAGGAAACAGATTATAGATTTAATGAGTAACCCTTCCGCATTTCTTGTTCATGACTTGTTTGGTTCCTATTGATTCAGATGTGACTCCCTAGTTAGATACTTGTTGATCCTTTCATCTGTCGCCGGGCAGTGTAGCCGTACCACATATTGATCTCAACACCTTTGATTTCCATTATCATTACTTTGGTTTTCTGTCTGAGAATACTTCATCTCGAAGGTATAATCGTCTAGGAGAAACTAGCTTCCCTCGTAATCTCATCAACTTTACCCCAATTACCAATTTCTCACAAGCTCTCGCCCTCGGCAAGCTTTTTCGTCCACACCTCCAAATCACCAGCTAACCCCTCAACGACCTCCGGGCTGGTAACGGCCTCGTTCCACGTCAAGGTAATCGTCGTCTCGCCGCCAGCGATGCCGGCTACGTTGACGCAGAAGGCTTGGGCGACGGTGCCGGCCGATTGGGAGAAGACGGCGCGGGTTAATTTCCACCCGTCTTCGCCCTCAACCTCGGCCTGGCTGTCGCTGCTTCTGCTGCCCTCGATGGCGCCCAGGTTACTCACCTCCCAACTGTTCCCCCTCGGCTTGCCGTCTTTTTTTCGGAAGAAGTCGTGGAAGTCGCTTACGTAGCGGAGCATTGCTGTGATGTCGTCGTTGGGTAGGCTCGTCAGGCGAGTTTGGAGGTCGGTTTTGATGGAGGATGCGACGGTCCAGATTGCGGTTTCGAGGGTTGGACCCGAGGAAGCGGAGGAAGAGTTGCGGAGGGCGGTGGTGAGAGACTCCGAGATGGGATGACTTGTCGAGGTTACCAGGACGCACATTTTGTTATCGATGTCGAGAGTTGGGTCTTGCGCGAAGCGGCGCATGCTGATGGCGGATGACGGTTCAAAGGACGGTGCTGTCTCTGAGGGGAGATGTCGCGCGAGGGAGGCTGCGACGAGGGCGTGGATGAGGGGCGTCAGAGTCAGGCCTTGCGCGCGGCATGCTGCGAGGAGGTTGGAGACTGTGAGGGCGGGGACGGTGACGATGCGGACGTTTGTGTGGAAGGGCGTGTCGAGGCGTATGGCTTCGCCCGTCCAGGGCGTCGCGGCTGGCTTCGGTTTGAGCCAGGCGGGGCCGAATGCGGACCATAGTTCGCGGAGGAAGTAGGGCCAGGAGATGCGGCCGTTGACGAGGTTTTCTTGGGGGAGGGGGAGCGTCGGAGGGGTTGGGAGGGTGAGGATGTTGTTGGACTGGAGGTGGTGGGTGGTGGAGGGGGAGGGGTTGTTCAGGGCGTGGAGGAGGCGTCTGTGGAAGATTGAGCCGCTTGTGCCGTCGCTTATTGCGTGGTGGAAGAAGTAGAGTACTTCGATCTCTGTTGGTGGTTCACAACCTTGTGAGGGCTGGGTTGGGATGATGGAGATCTTCCATGGTGGACGTTGGGAGATCTCGGGCCACAGTTGGTCGTGTTGGTGGGAGAGGTGTTTGCAGAGGGTCGCGTCCGGGCCGCTGGCACCGGTGTTGAAATCGGGGCCGGAGCCGGAGCCGGGGTGGGACGGAGGGAACCACTGAATATGGTTTGACAAGTTGATTTGTGGCGCGCGCACGAACGAGGACGTCTGTTTGTCTTCGTCGGCGATGCCGACTTGCATGAAGGGTTGCTCTGCAATGACCTGTGCGACGGCGTCTTGGAGAAGTTGCTTGGCTTGGGAGAGGGTTGAGATGCCCTGTGGGAGCGCGTAGCGGCCGGTGACGGCGACGCAGCGGTAGAGGCTAAGGGAGTGCCGGGCTGTTGAGTACGTTTCCCTGTGTTCCATGTCAGTTTGGTTCGTGCGAGGGTGGTATCAGGAAAGTGAGTTTGAATGTATCATACATGTTGCCGCATGGCCGGATTACTTCTGTTTGTGGGGTCATGACTTGCTCCTTAGTTGGAGCTGGTGTATGGATGGCAGACGATGATTCTCGTCAATGGGACTACGAAGTTTCTAGGCAGATTAGTCGTGAGTAGTGGCTGCTAATGATGAACCAACACTTTGTGAGGTATGCTTATGCTGTTCATCCGTGATGTATTCCGTAATGACTGCTCGGATGAGCTGGAGCCTGGAGATGACGGGGTATACTGGATTCCTCCGCTTTGTTGCGTCGAGTACCTGGTCCCTGCAGGCGTTCCTGAGCACCCAGGGGTTCCCATCCTGAAGGGGCATAGCTCCCCGAGTTGCCCATTCATTGAATGGGCCATTGGACAGGGGTTGGGCATGACGAGTCGTACCGGTATAATGTTCGCTTAGGATATGAAAGTTGAATGAGCTGTGGGGGCCTTCGGATAGTGAACACGACATCAAAGAAGCTTAGCCAGGCACGCCAGACATGTGAACAAAGGTCGTTTGTTATTCTGGGAAACAAGACCCAGAAACGTGGTTACGGGATACCGTTAAACGTCTTTGAGAGCCGCGTGACGGCGCGCCGTTTCCAGAACGGGGATCGGCCGTTCAGGGTCCAGACCGGCGCAATTTTGGAGCTTGGACCATTTTGGACCGGAAGGTCCCGATTAGTCATTTCCTATCTGTTTTTCCGCCCCGAGATTAGGAGGGGCAGTGTGGGGGTTGATCCAAATGGGAAAGAAGCACCAGGGGTGGCCCCCGGTCAATTTCCCTAGGAAGACGCGGTTCACCACTTGCTCGCTCGCCGACCCAAAATATTGTCTTTCCCCATTGCGCGACCACCTTTCCCCTGATGACAATGCGAATAAACACAGCTAGGTTGACCATCTCGGCCTCATAGCTCTGAAAAGCTCGTGTCGCTGTTTCTACTGCGTTCTCGTACTGTTATGACGCGACCAGTCGCCAAATCGCATCGCAAGAAAATGCAGCTGCGCGCAGCTTGACAACATACCATCACCACTACACTGTCGCCACCACTACCTACGAACGTGGCCACAACCCCAAAACGCCATGGAATACAATCGATCGCCGTCCTTCGGCCTCGGCGCTCGAGCGAATCGTCGCGCTTCTACTCAATTGACTATCGACGAGGAAGGCCGTAAACCACTATTCTCTAAACCCTCCCGAGAGAGCCTCGAGCCTCAGAATCCCTCACCAGCTGCGGCAGGAAGTACCAGATTCGGATACTCGCCAACAAACGCCCAAACCAGTGCGACCGGCCGACCCCCCTCTCGCGCCGCGATCCCCCGACCTTCGAGCTCCCTTTCGCAGACGCCTTCCCTCAATTCGAACCACTCCATCGAGATCGTGTCTCCCGGCTCTCGCATCCCCAGACCCAAATCCACAATTGGCATTTTCGCCAAAGGCTCCGGGGTCTCCGTCGCCGAGGCCTGGAAGCTGGCGGATGAGAACCGTGTCCAAACCCTCGAGAAGGCGCGGCGAGCTACCCCCGCAGCCATCGACGCATCACCAAGCCCTGCCCCACGCCCCTATACCAATCGACAGGTCTCGGACGAGTCAAAATCGCGGCGATCTCTTGGCAAGGATGCGGTCGACTACAGCCGTCCTAGACCCCTTTCGAGGATGTCGAGCGACTCGTTGCGAGACAGCTACGTGGGACGCTACGGCGGTAGTCCAGGCTCGAACAGTCTCTCTAGCTCTGGAAGCTTCGATCGTCGACTGAGTCAATACGAACGGGAGATGGCAGAGTCGCCGAGCGCGTCTCGGGATCAGGAACATTTCTTTGGTAAGACCAGAGTGGGACCAAAGATTGCCGAGACAGGACACACCCTGGCGAGGAGGACAAGCAACAGCAGCCTTAACGGGTCTCAGAGTGCGAACCGGCGGGCAAGTAACAGCAGCTTGAACGGAGGCCCGGGCTTGGGTAGGAGGACAAGCTACGGCAGTTTGAGCGCCAGTCCGCGTCCCGGAGCATTCGCAAAGAGTCATGTTCCTGAAGGACACATCAAGGAGCTCCTGGAGCAGGATGAGAAGGGTATTAAGCGATCCGCCAGGCCGAAACCAGACGATGACAATGCAGCCGATACACCGTTGCCCTCTGTAGAGACCTCCCGTCTGCCTCAGGAGCCCACTCCACCAACCTCTCGCCCGGCTTCTACGAACCCGGATTACCGATCTCCGGACAAGAGTTACGCGTGGCAGCTTGACGCGGATTTCACGGCGGGAGACTTGCAGATTTCAGACAGTCCACGAATAAGAACCGATGGCGCTGGCTTCAGCGAAGCCTCCGATCGACGATCCTCATACGGCAGCACTTATGCTGAAGAGCAACTCTTGGGGCTGAACGGAAATCTCAGGCGGGAGTCATCGCTAGGGCCTTCTCCTCGTGCTGGGCGCTCTAATACTCGGATCGACGAGATTCGTCAGCGGGAAGAGAAAGCCAAGGAAGAGCTTGCCGAGTCACGAAAGGCGCTGCCAAGAGCTAGAAACAATACAAGGCTGGAGGAGATTCGCGAAAGAGAAGCAGAGGCAGAGGAGCATTTCGCGAAGCTACCCCGACGCTCCTACTACCCGACACCCGATGATTTACCAGACCGTGAAGAAGTTGATACACAAGCCCCGCCAAAAAACACGAAACTCGACGAGATACGAGCCCGAGAAGCCGAGTCATTGTCTAAGAAGGCCGTCGCCACTAGTCGATTAGAGGAGATTAGGGAACAGAACTCAATGATGTCGAGATCCATGTCGCCGGAAGCTCGGCGAAGCGAGGA